AAAAATTGTGCATCATAAGTACCCAACAATTCCTGGATATTTATAAATTGAAATAATTTTGTTTATGTTATTTAATTGGTTATAAATTTATGAAATTATAAAAATTGAAATATATACTATACTTTTTTAATATATACTATTTTTTTGTGAGTTAAATTTAACTGATGTTACTCGATTTAAGACACGAAACCCCATGCTTATTTAGAAACTTTGTGTATTATTAAAAAAAATGCTAAATCATTAAGCGAGCAAAGCTTGAAGTTACTGTAAAAGGTGTAATAGACTACCCTAATTTATCATGTAATAACAATAACATATTTAGGGGTAAATATAAATGAATTTCAATTGATTTCATAAATACCCAAAATACCCGGGTATTTATGGATTTTGGGTATTTACCCGGGTAAATACCCAGGGTATTTACCCCGAGTTTTAAATACCTGGGTATTTTACATCACTACGCGGGACAGATTTTTTTTTTCGTTTTGTGGTCCCTAGAGGCCAAAAACACCATCCGTTCAAATTCATATATATATAGATATATTTATATATTTATTTATTTATATATATATATGTGTGTCCGTCAGCACGATAACTCGAGCAAAAATGATCCGATTTTGATGAAATTTGGTACAAACGTGTAAACGAACGTTTATTCGAACGAGTTCGCGATCCAGCATGATCGGACCATGGGAACGGGGGTTTGCGGGGGGGTTTTATGGGGTAAAAATAGGTTTTTCCCATTTTTGACCTAAAAAACATAAAATTTAGCAATTTCTTTCCAAACCATTTTGTAGAGCTTAAAAAAACAAATAATTTAGTATATTGAAGCGTTATTATGCGCCTAATGGTTACGGAGAAAATTCCAAAAAATTGTAAATTTAAAATTCCCATGTTATTCTTATGGAGAATAAGTAAACTGTTGTAGTTTGCTTGTTTGTGAACATATTTTGATCAAATTTGGAAAATGTTTTTATTTCTTACTAACTATTCACATTTTACAAAAAAAAAAAAAAAAAACAGTTTTACCCTCCCTGATGCAGCAAACCTAAGTACCTGTTAAACTAATTCTATTTAAATCAAGAATAAATGTTACATTTTTAAGTAGACATTTCAGTGTAAATACAATCAGTCAAATGGAAATTCGCTTAGTCTGCAGGTTTGCTGCGGCGGGGGTATTTTTAATTTATTACTGTCAAATTTTTAATCTCTTGCCATGGTCTGTAACTTTTGTATTTATTTGCTCGTCGCTCAATTTCAATTTTAACTCTTGTATTATATTGACTGTATTGACTGAATTACTTGTTATTTATATATTTATACATTTATTTACTCAAGACTGAATACGAGATGTATTTACCAACTATTTGACCTGTCTATGCATTACATATGTAAAAATGATGAATAAATGTCTTATGTCTTATGTCTTATGATACCGATACTTCCGATACCTATCTTTTTTGCACAGTTTTTTCCACTAATAATATTATAAACTGTTATACCATAAAAAACACAATATGTATGTGTATCAAAATTTTTGTGTTAAAGGCTTATTATTAATTGCAAAAATATGGAACTAGGTGTTTATTTTAAAATAGGCCTACTGTAAATGTTTGAATTTGACTAAAGCATGAGATTTAATAAAATTTCCTCTAATTTATAAATAGGCTTAGGCTATATAAGTAGCCTATTTATCTGTCATTTGTCAGTTTTTGTATTTATTTGAAATTGCATCAATTGTCTTAATTAACTCATTAAGCTATAAATTTAAAAAAAATTACATCTTGGCCTACAAATACTCTGTTAGTTTTTTCCCTAAGAGAGTAAAAAACGAACTTCCTATATAATGACAGGTTACTAGTTGTATGAAAAACAGTTATATATCTTCAAAATTTGTTTAACTATGTCACAAAGTCTAGCTGAAAACACATTCATAAATGAGGATATTTTTGAAATACAGAATAACTAATCAAACAACCTTTTTATTTTTAACAATTTTATTTCTTAACTTTTCTTCCTTGAAAATGTCAACATTTTTTCACTTAAAGATAATCTTTTTTAATAAAGATTATCACTTATAATTTCTCGAAAGAAATCTACGTGTGAGCTATGAAGAGCAGACAAGAGACATACGTCACTGCCACAAAAACTATTCTCTGCTCTACTGTCAATGTGTGGAATGTGAATGAATGAACTGAGTGTTTATTTAGTGTGAAGCCCCGCCCACCGTCTAACGGGACATGGGGTAGGAAAAGAGAAAGTTTGCTCTAAAGCCTGGTTCACATGCCCTCCCTTACCCTCGGCGTCAGTCGCTTGCAGATTTCCACTACACAAACGTTTCTGAGTGTTAATTATTTTAAAACACTGTAAATGTTTGAATTTGACTATGATGAGATCTAATAAAGTTTCCTCTAATTTATAAATAGGCTTAGGCCTAATAATCTAAGTCATTTGACAGGTTTTGTATTTATTTTTAAAAGCAATTGCAGTTATAGGCTACTTTTAAAAAAACTACATACTTACATCTTGGCCTATAAATACATTTTGTAAGGACAGTATTTTCTCTATAGTGAGTAAAAACGATCGTGGTCAAGAATTGACTGTGTTAAAACAGCACACTGTCAATTTTTACAAAAGTATTTTGACTGAAACCTGGTATTTTTAAAGAGATTGTAGAATAAGTCGACGTATGTGGAGGCAATAGATAAGTTATACTTTTAGCCTACAATAAAAATTATGTTTTGGCACTAGAATCTCCAAAAGAGTGCTTTTATAAAACATGCCATAGTTTTATTTAGTAACAAAAGTGTTTGACTATGTTCCCGATGATACCAAGACTATAGGTTCGGCAGAGTGGATTCACTGTGAACCGGCCTGCCTGGCCCTTTTGCACGACGTCACTACAACTTCCGTGTAGGGGTGTCAAAAATGGATCGGAACAATCGATGTTTTGGACCTGTCTGTAACTAACCTATTTTAGTTTTTTTATACTGTACTTTAATACTCATTATGCATAAACGAACACGTACTACATATCGGATCTCGAATCACGATAAATTATCGATACCCTTCCCACCCACAATAAGCAGTAAGCACATAACGATGTCTAAGCAAGCAATCGTCATTTGCTCCATTGAAACACAAAAGTCGATTGGCTGACATGGTAGTGCATTGTCGCCTCCTGGCCAATGAGAACTGTTGTTACATACTTTTATTGTCAACATTCGCCATTCGTTATAACATTACAAAATCTACATGGACTAAGGCTTATGATATTTTTCAATAAATGCATTGTGTCATAGTAGCACTTAAAACTTCACTAAACTTTTAATCAGGTAGATAGTACAGATAAATATGGACCTACTTTTTGGCGCAATATAAAGCAAGCCTAACCATACGACGATGACGATGTTAAAGTTTAATGGTTGAATATAATTTTTCTAATGATTGATATAATGCAGGGAGGAAAGTGAACATTTTGACGTGTTTAGGTTATTTATTTTGCACTAAAAATAATACATCTAAATGTCTGACTTATTCATACAGACGTTGTTTAGTATAATTAATTTCGTGTTGGCAGGACATTCGCACGCCGGTTGTCTCATGAGTTGAGTATGACATCTTGAAATGTAGATTGTGCTGTGCAATGAGCTGGAAACTAAACAATGTCACCGGCACTGTCGCTGTTTTGAACTAAGTTAGATAGTTTCTAAGTTGGCTATGAAAATTGTTAACCGTGATTACAAAACTAATACTGTAGCTATAAAGTTAATAAATGTTAAAATAAAATATTTATCCCTGTCGGGTGTCTGTGTCATTGGAATCGACTTTTGACAATCGAGTCTTGGTACCGATACCAATGTCCATCGGTGGTATCGATGACGATAATCGACACATCCCTTTTTAGAATCGAATTGAAATTTCAATGCATCGCCATCGCACTCGCTGCACACCACTACCTATCACCATAGACTAACCAACACAAGTAGACTTCTCATCCCATTGTAAATTTTGAAGCTCGTTTTTCATGTCTAGTTCATGGGCGCTAGTGTTGACGAAATTTTGTTTCTATTATTTTAGGGTTAATTTCTTGATTTGTGCTTTACTGTTTGGTTAAATAACTAGGGGACAATTTATTGTTTATGATTAGATCGTATTATTTGGTTGAACGAGGTTTTAAATGACTGTATTAACGGGAAACAAATTATAAACAAAACACGACCTCTACATAAACCGTACAGAACTAACAATAAAATTGTCTTCAGCTGTTCCATTAGGATGATAAATCTACTAAGGGAGTATGTTTTATCTATGCTATCACTATCACCCAGTGTCAGCTGTCGCTGTCAGTGAAATGGATGACGCAAGCGATGTCTAGGTTGCCGATTATTATTAGGCCTAGTATGTCAATATTGAAAGGGGTTAAGGGATTAAATAAAAGTCAAACATTTTCCTCTCTTATTATTTTCTTGTCAAATATCCACGAAATCGGCTTAACCTCTACTACTCGACTTGAGTTGCGAGTATATTTAACTAAGTAGGCAAACAGCTAGGATTCGTAACGGCAACGGCAATTTACCCGCTCGGCGCTCTGACTGAAAATCCGCACCGATTCGTAGCATTCAGTGGTTCAGTGTCGGTATCGGTATCGAACCCAAAACAGGCAAGTATCGAGTATCGACGATACCTCGATACTGCTGGTATCGAGAGTATTTTGGTATCGAGTATCGGTATCGGCCCACCTCTACTCAGCAGTACACTTTATTCCTAGAACATGCCATTTTTTTCAAACAACTTACACTAACAATACCTACTTCGTGTCAAATATCAAAACTCGCTAATAAAATCCCGAAACTGTTTAACTGGTTATCTTGGTTATTTGGCAAAATGTTATTTGAGATTTGCAGATTTGCTTTTGACCCATCACTAGTTGTCTTGATGATTTATTTTATCATATTAATATTAGGTTGATCACACCAAATTATCAATGCACTACTTACACCGAGGAATATGTTCCTGGAGGAGTCAAAGCCTGCAGCGTAGATGCGAGCTACACGGGGGTTGGAGCGGTCAGCTAGGATACGGCAGGCAAAGCGTGATATTGTGCTAGCCATAACCTTGCTTTCCCCTGTCTTGTCACCAGGTATGGTGTCCATCACTACAAAGTCAATGGGTGTTTCCGACGACCGCCCAATCTGTAACAATTTTAAATTGGTGATTAATTTAGACTCTTTAAGATAATTTCAATTAGGATGATGTGAAGCGAGGGTAGTGTGTGTGTGACAAATACTTCCCCCACCACTCTTTCATAACTCTGTACTAATATTAAATTAGATCCAACAGCAGTTTTTTTAGATGACTGTACAAAATAACAAAAGCGTGGTAGTGGGGAAGGCTTATAATGTGCATGAGCATCCTGCTTGCCACTCCAAAATATTCTATCTATTCTTGTTCCACCATAACTTTGATTACAAAGTTAGCACTAGTGGTGAATTGAGTAGCCACTTATTTTTATTTTAAAGCTGCTAACAGCATTGGATATGTAATATAGTTTTGTCAGTTTTGAATGGAAGCCTTTAGGAAATAAAGTCTGTTTATTATTTTATTGTTTACACTCTGAATTTGTAAAAAGATAATTTTGTTTTGGATTTTTATTTGTTCATACATTGGAACTGAATATGAACTCTGATGTGGATAAAACAATTCCCTCTGGATGGAAGAGGGCGGAGGTTGTTAGGAAAAAAGGTCTCAGTGCTGGGAAAATTGATGTTTACATCACATCACCGAGAGGTAAGGTTTTTCGTTCGAAAAAAGAGTTATCCAAGTACTTAGAAGACCACAAACTTAATTTGAAAATTGAAGATTTTAATTTTAGTTCCATTAAAATAAAATCCAAAAATGATTCCATTTTGAATGAAAGTAGCACTGCTAGTTCTCAAGCCTCCATACTAGACAAAAGTTCTGATACAAATATATTGTTGAATTTGGATAGAGATGGGCCCAATGGAGCAAGTACCACTCCCTCTAGTAATTTAAGCATGCTTAGTATTAGCGAATCATGTGATGAAGAAAATAATATTACAGTTAGTGACCCCCATCTAATGATGGATAGGGATAGTGGAATGGAGATTACAGCAGTCTTGTTGGATGAGGCCTCATTTACAACTCATAATGTATCTTCTGAGAATCTAAGCAATGACAGTTGTACTAAAAACATAAAGAACTCAAAAATAGAATTAAATGAAAACATTTCCCTATCACTTTTGGAATCTAAATGGGTAACTGACGATGCGGTTCAAGTTTATTTTAACATATTAAATTCAACCCTAGGCAGTGAAAAACCAAAAATACACTTTATGAGCCCAGTTATAACACTTGCGATCAAGGTTTTACAAGATTACATGGACATCTTACAACCTATTAAGCTTGAGGACAAGAGTTTAGTATTTATTCCTGTCAATGACTCGTCATCTGTCCAAGGAGTGGGAGGTTCTGGCTCACACTGGAGTCTTTTACTCTGGGATAAAGGAAATAACCATTTTTTTCATATGGACTCAAAAGGTGACTATAACCTCAGTCATGCTCAAACAGTTGCACAAAAAATGCATGCCTCTTTAAAGTCAACTGCTTTATTTCAATTTGAGAGAGTGAAAACCCCGCCGCAATCCAACAATCATGATTGTGGAATCCATATGCTTTTGGCAGCTGACACTGTACTTGCTAGTGTAATGCAAGGTATAACACCTTCATTGGAATCATTGGAAAATATGCTACAGCCTTTTCCTGAGTCTATAATATTAACAAGAAGAGCCCAACTGGCTTTATGGTTTCACAAAGGTCAATATATGAGCGTGTCCAAAGAAACTCTAAGAAAAATGATTTACCCTCCAAATACAAATCACAAAGGTGACAACATTTGTGAAACGGGGTCTGTGGAATGGTCAACTGTTAAATCAGCCAAATTTAAATACAATGGTTCTATCAGTCCTCCAAAAACAAACAACATACCAGTTATATCAACAGAAAACATTTATAATGTATTGCTAGACATCCAGTCCAACCAAAAATCTGATGATCATGAAGTGTCCCACCAACCAAACCTGATTAACTCCAAGGCTAAAGCTACCTCGCTCATTGCTAACAAAACAAAAGTTACGTTTTGTGAAAAAGCCGTACAGGTATCACCTCAAACAAATCTCACTGTCAGGAAAGTAAACTCCAGTACACAACCAACAAGACAAAAATCTTTGAAGATATCAAAACATCATATGAAACTCTCCATAGTCAGTGACAGCCAGGGTAGAGGGGTGTCTCAAGTAATTCATTATATGAGTAACAGCGATATATTAACAACCGGACTTGTAATGCCAAATACCGAACTATTGCATGTGGTGGATGTAGCATTAAAGCAAAGAAGTGATGTCATAGCTATACTCGCAGGAACTAACAATACCCTTAACAACACAACAAAGGATATTTATAAAAACATAGAGAAAAAGTTGCAAGAATTTGACAAAGATAAACAAGTTTTACTTTGCACTATTCCGCAAAGACATGATGCTCCTAACAACAGTACAATTCATTTAGAAATTCAAAGGATTAATAATTACCTAAGTGAACTGGTTTCACGATTCAAAAATGTCCATCTGATCGATACTCAGGTACTGAGAAGGTCATTCTACACTTCTCACGGCCTACACTTAAATAATAAAGGGAAAAAAGAACTAGCCAGACTTATTATGAATCACATCAGAACTTCCAGTCAACCTCAGCATAGCAAGTCATCTGCAACTAATCTCCAAAGTAACCTGTTACAATTACAATCAATAAAACCTAGAGTACAGCTATTGGAAGCTGACATGAACACTGTGATCGAATTGTACTCAGGTGACAGCAAAAACGCTTTTGCTCATTGTATCTCCGCCGATTTTGATAGTGACAAACAGATGAGTCAAGGTGTCGCTACAGTCTTTAAAGAAAAGTTTGGCAAGCCAAGTCACTCGGATTACTGCGATTCAAACCTGACCTGTCAAAAATCCAAACAGGGAGCCACAATCTACAGCTTAGTAACAAAGCAAAAATACTACCAAAACTCGAAAAACTACCATAAATACAATGCTACGTACGATGCAGTTTTTGATCAGCTTGCCAAAGACTTTAAACGGAAAGAGCTAAAAAATCTGATATGCTCCCCTTTAGGATGTACACGGGACCGCATCTCACCACACCACTTCATCAACAATCTGTTGAAATTCAAACAGGAAACAGGGGCATCAATTACAATTGTTACCTACAATGAAAATGCTTCGGAGAAATTATATAATAAGTTATCGTATAGAGACTTTGTGAAACACCTTAGGAAACTCATAGTGTCACTTCAATCAGCACGACAAAATGAAGATTCTGGAGGCAAAACAGGCATGCCTAGTGGCAACGGACGTCCCCTTTTGGCTGATAATGGACATTTACTGTCAATGGAAGAATATCCTCCTCTGCCGTCCTGTAACAACAATCCAAGTTCTGCGGTTGATAATTCACAGACGATGACAACCAAGCAAGATGTAACTGTAGCTGTGACTTCACCCTGCAAATCCAACACCCCCTCCTCTCAACCTACAGAGGCAGCCGATACTTCATCATCAACAGCCCCTCAACAACCTTCTGTGTCACTGTGTACCGAAAGTGTCAATGAAAGTGAAACCAGTGCTAGTGTTTTAGAAAATGTAAATTCTCATTTTTTAGGAGATACTCTAATAGGGGATCCTCCACTGCATTAGGCCCTGTCACAAATAATGCCAGATGTAGCTCCAATAAATTTAATTTAAATTTAATTCATGTAAATGTACAATCTTTAAGGAATAAGTTAAGTGAATTGGCTTTAGTATTAGAGGAATCCCATTGCAATATTGCATTATTGAATGAACATTGGCTTCTTAGAGATGAAATTAGGCTGTACATTCCCCAAGGTTATACTCTCGCAGATTCCTTTTGCAGAGAGGATGATCCCCATGGAGGCTCTTCAATAATTTTAAGTACAAATATTTCATATGATAGGATAGATATTTCACACCTTGTTCACACTGGCTCATTAGAAGCATCATGTACTTACATTAAGGATTTCAATTTAACTTTGATATCTCTGTACAGAACCCCCGATTCTGATTGTAATTTATTTTTTAATCAATTAGAGAGCCTTTTAACATTTGTTTTACAAAAAAAACCATCTTGTAAATTAATTTTAGGAGCAGATTTTAATGTTGATTTTTTAAAGAATGATAATCCCACAAAAATGCTTGTCAATGTCTTAAAATCTTTCAATTTATATTATATCTTTAAATACCCAACCAAAGGGAACAAATGTATTGACAATATTGCAACTAACATTGAGCCAAACTTATTTCAGTGTAAAGTTTTGAAAGAACAAATATCTGATCACCCTATTTTACATTTTGCATTTTCAAGTAGTTTATATGTGCCTGATATAGTCAAAGAAGTTTCTTTTAGATTGTTAACAAAAGAAAGGATTAATATGTTTTTGTATAGTTTAAGTGTCATCAATTGGGAGCCGGTTTTTCAGATTGCTGATGTTAATGTTGCTTTTAAATGTTTCATTGACTGTATTCAGAATTGTTACAATTATCACTGTCCTAGACTATCTAAGAGAGTAAGAAAGGACTACAAAGTTAGTACAAAAAATAACCTGTGGTTTGATGAGTCACTTAAGAAAATGAAGGATACTCTGTTACTCCTCAAGGATTTGACTAAAATACCAGCTTATCAAAACAATGACATCCTAAAAAAATATCTATCATCTTACAAAAACAAATATAAAACTAGAATTAAAACCGCTAAGATAGAATATAATGAGGAATTTATTAATAGTTCACAAAACAAATGTAAGGCTGCATGGAAAGTTGTTAAGTCAGAAAGTGGTTTATTTTTTAAAAGTGAAAAGTCGGATCCACCAATTACAGCTGACGAATTTAATGACTATTACATTGATGTAGGAAAACAAATTTTAGACAAGTTCTCTAATGGAGGGGGAAGTGGGTTACATTTTTACGACTTTTTAGATAAGGAAAATGTTTCTAATACCAATTTTTCCTGGAATCCGGTAACATCAATTGAAATTTTAAAAGTTATAAGATCACTTAGTTCCTCTAACTCTGAAGATTTTTATGGCTTTTCTAACAAA